AGTGACCCTGTGAGGTGCTGAGGCAGCCAGTGCAGCTATTGTCGTCCTAGTGCTGTGCCTATGCAGGAAGCCGTGGTGTTCTCGCCGCCACCAAGCTAGGGGATAAAAACTGCCTGCTGCTTTGTGGCTGGCTGGCTGTGGGACTGGTGTCTAAAATCATCATGTTTTTTCGGCCTCCTGTTTACTTGAGCCAACCCACCCTGCATCTAATTGTGACACACCAGGTCAGTTTATGGGCTTCCCTTTCCTGCCAAGCATTCCACAGCCCTGTTGCCTTTCGTCCTTTAGGCATGCCTTGCCCTACATCCCAGCTCCAAAGCAACGTGAGGTAGTCTAGTCATCATACCCCTCTACCCATCATGCTCTGTCAGCCCAGTGCAGGGAAGACAAGCCTGATAACTAAAAAGCCTGACTCAAGTTCAAATCCAAGACACCGCTGATCCTACCTTCCATGCATTTTAAAGGGCGGATGGCTTGACTTGCTGAAGATGTTGGAGCCTGGGTCAAGGGAAAAAAATCCCACCAATACGACATTTTGTTCTAGATTTCCGGTTGGTCTGGAGGTTGATTTTGGACTTGGAAACATACAAAGTTACTTATCTCCAAAGTGCTGTGTTTGATTTTTAGTCTATATTCTTGAATCTTTGATGACTGTGCATCAGGGTACTTTCAAGGTGGCTGAGTTCCACAGCAGCGTCCAGAATCATGCTACTGGTGAACATTTGGCCTGTTGGAAGGACTTGGCAGCTACAGGCAGACTCCCACCATCCACCAACCGGCTCACTGTCAAGCCACAGTCATGTGCTGACTGCAAAGTGGCCCCTGGATTTTGCATATCTTGTGATATCACTATGGGAACACAGTCATTATGATACAGCAGTTCCTGTCTTGAGTTCTTCTGATAGTTTTATTTTTTTATGGTTTCATTTCCTATACTGATATGAAAGAGACACTTGATAACCAAAAATAAATATAGCCAAAATTCCAGGTTCCTTGTTTCATATATGAGCATGACTTCACAATCCAAATTGAATAAACCCAGATCTGTTATGCAGCTGTGTACTCTCATAGCAGATGAGTCACAGAGAACTCTGTCAACTCTGACATGTTGGATGACCTTGAGAATTTAGCAATTTCCTATGACATGGAACAAACCAGATTACCAGCTGCCGGAAAAGCCAGGCATAATTACTACTAGTAAATACTACCACTGGCTCTGAAATATATGGGATGAGCTCACACTTCACTTTCTGCTGCCACCACCAAAGTTCAAGCCATTATGACATTGTCACTAACCTGGACTACTGACCAGTCTCCCTGCTTTCATTCTGACCCCCTCCATCCATCTGCCACACTGAAGCTGGAGTCATTTTGTAAGTCAATTGGATCATGTCACTTAAAACCCACCTGTTTTTCATTTCAAAATAAAATCCAAGCTCATTACCGTGATCTATGAGGCCCTATGTGATTTGACCCTGGCCTGATTCTCTCATCTCATGTCATACTGCCCTCCACCCCCTTGTAATAATCTGTCTACACTGGCTCTCCTCAACCTTATAATGATCTATCCACTCAATTTTCTGTTTCTTGAGCATGGGGCTACTATGTGCAGCCACGCAGGCTGTGTGTGGCATAACTCCAGGAGAGGTGCTCAGCAGGCTGCAGGGTGAACGCTGCTCCTGGAAACGTGCAGCATGGCAGCCTCATTCACACACACCGAGCTCCTTCCCACTGCAAGGTCTTGCTGCCTGCTAAGCCTTCTGCCTGGTACATGCACCTGCAGGTTCTTTGCATGGCTCCTTCTTGTCATGCACTTAACAGGTATTTCCCAAAGCATTTCTCTACACCAGGCAGAACTGGCTACAGAATTGGCAGGGCCCAGTGCAAAATGAAAATCAGGTCCTCTTATTCAAAAATTATTAAGATAGTAACAGCAGAGCATTAAACCAAGCACACAGGCCCTTCTGAATTGGGGCCCTGTGTGACCACACAAGCCATACCTTCATTAAGGTGGCACTGGTCTCAGTCTCAGCTCTAATGTCACTTTCTCAGAGGAGCGCTTTCTAACCACCCAAACCAAAGGAGCCTCTGGTTACTGTGGGAAGGCAAGCTAAGGACTCCCTTCCCTTTCCAGGTAAAATGATGACATTTTAAATTGCAGATGAAACAAACAGCCCTGGTTTCACTAGCACTGTGTGTTTAGACTGAACATCCAATCAACATAAAAGGTTTCGTGTTTCTCTTTAATGAGGCCTTGGACAGGTTCTCATTTTTCAATAAATTGGCCTCAAAGGCAATGTCAGGCCACATAAGCCAGGAGAACTTTGGTGTACATAGATCCAAAAGGACCCATTACAGCATTATCAATTTGAAAAGGATGCTATGGTTGGATTTTTATCCTAATAAAAAACAACAATGCACATTTTATGGAGCTAAGAACTTAAATGAACTCAATTGTATTTGAAAGTTTAATCAAAACTGCAGTTACTAATTGGCTAGTATTTATTTCCCCTTGCCTTTGGAATTTAAAGTTTTTGCTTTTGATCAATGAACTAAAAATTACTGAAATATAATTCCATCCTCCAAAAGTCAATGTTTCATTGTTTTGTCACACTGTGAACTTTCTTATTTAAAGTAGTTAGTTCCAAATACTTATATTTATAAACCTTTATAAATAACGTTAAAAAACATTTATAAATATTGGATTACAAAGGTCCATATATGGTATCTGAATCAGAGAAAAAGATGCAGAGAAGACCTCCTTTAAATATAACAGCTTCTCACCTGGGTTTTTTCTCCAACTCCAGGAATCCAATACTCTCAGCCTAAATAACAAGAGAAGCAAAATGTTCAAGAATCTGTGACAGTGAGATAAAGCAACAACTTGTAATTTTCAGAGCAACTGCTATTCCCGCCATCATCCTCCAGCCGGGCAATACCATGTGGGGCCATCAGATAATGATTTTCTGTAGTGGGTTACCCTTACTGCCAGGAGCAAAGCAGTTGTAAAAATGCAACTCCCTAAAAGTGCTTGTCACCAGTGGAGAAAACAAGTTCCTGCCCCAATTTTTGCTAATTTTGTAAGCGACCATTAAAAGACAGAGAGAGTGAAGAAACAAGCAAAGAATGCTATGTTTCCCTTTGTGTAATGTGAACGATGCAAGCAGAAGTTGAACCTGCACGAGGTGCCTCACTCAAGAAGGCTAATCCTGAAGGGTGACGGAGCAGACCCTGCCTTTCTGCCTTCCTGCTCCGCTTGCTCTCAGAAAAATACCTGATAAACTCACTTATACCAGGGTATAAATGACTAATAAAGATTAAAAGGATTATCTTCAAAAGGAGTATTTGCCTTATATTAGGGAAAAAGAGTCTTTACCAAAGAACTGAAAGTTTTAGTGATAGAATTTCCACAGCGTCCAAAAGCCATCCTCAGACAAAGAACAGTATCCTCAGAGAGTTGTCCATACTTGCTACTTGTTTCCGTCTCCTCTCATTTTCTCTCTCAACTTTTTGTTATGGAATAATTTATGGTTTATGGAAAATTTGCAAGCATAATAAAGAGAGCTCCTAAGTATCTTCTGTCTAGTTACTCCTAAATGTTTACATTTCATATTTCTACAGTACATTTGTCAAAGCCAAGAAACTGACATTGATACATTACTCTTTGCTGCACTCCACCAGTTTTCCACTAATATACTTTTCCTGTTTGATTCAATCCAGGACATCACAGTGCATTCAGCCTGTTCTCTTGTACACCCAATCTAATCAGACATTCATCCCCGGAGCTCCACCAAATCAGCTTCCGTCAAGGTCATCCGTGACCCTCATGCAGCCAAAGCCGGCGTGACGCCAGAAGTCTTCTCTTGATACTCATTTCAGCAGCATTGACACGGCAGGTCAGCCGCTCCAAGACGCCTTGTCACCCCACCTCTGGGACACCCCTCTCTCGGTGATCATCCCACCTCACTGAGCAGGCATTCTTGGTCTCTTTTTCGGGTTCCTCCTTTCCTTCCCAGACGCCAAGCAATGGACGGACCCCAGGCCCCCGTCTCGGTCCTCCTCTCGATCCACACGCTCCCCAGCTGGTCTTGTGCAGCCAGGTGGGGGTGAAAGCCGCCTCCCTGGGAAGCCTCGGCACTTATGTCTCTTACCTGCTCCCTCGGAGGACCCCACACCGACCCACCTGAAGCTGCTCACGCAACAAGTTGCTTCCTAATGAGGTCTCCCACTCAGCGCCACCCACACTCAACTCGTGCCTGGGGCCACCTCCTGCTCCTCCGCTGGTCTCTCCAACTCGGTGAATGGCAGTTCCTGCCGTTCCTCAGGCCAAAACTCTGAGGATCACCCTTGCCTGCTCTGTTTTGTTTATACTCCACATCCAGCAAATTTCCGGAGCCCTGCCGCTGCAGCTCTCCAGCTCCAGCCACTTGTACCGTGTGCATCGCCGTCATCCTGGGCCAAGTCCGCACCTTCCCACTCGGATCAGTGCAGCAGCCTCCCAGCTGCCCACCCTGCTCCTGCCCTTCTCCTCTCCCCGCCTCCCCACCACCCAGTCCCTTCTCTAGCTCAGGGACACTTTTTAAATGTAAGTCTGATCATGTTCGAAGGGTTACTTTCTTTAAAGGTTACTTTCAAACCCACCGAGGAGGTCTATTCTCTGCCAAAGTAGAGCCCAAAGCCATTTCCAAGATCACCACGTACCACATGATCTCCCCCCACACACCTCTCTGTCTTAATTTCCTCCCACACTCCCTCCCATTTACCCCATTTGAGCCACACTCTCCTCTCCTTGTTTTTCCTTTCACTGACCAAGTTTCTTTTGCCTCAAGGCCTTGTACTTGCTGTTGCTTCTGCCTGGATGTTTTGCCCCTAGGTATCTCCCTGGCTTGCAGGGAGAGCAGTTAGGGCAGGGTGAGTGAGGGAGGGTGACCAACTCCTCCAGGTTTTCCAGGGACTGTCCTGATTTTAAAAATGAAAAATGTCCCCTGTATCCTAGGAACCCCTCCAGTTCCTGGAAAATGAGGACAGTTGGACCTACCAGGGATAAGTGTGTAGAGGATCTGCAAACACTTAATATGGTGATCAGAGAAGGCCTGCGGACAAGGAGGCATTTGGATGAAGAGCTGATGGAGGCAAGGGACTGAATTTGTCCTTCCTTAAGGTATGATTCCTGGGACCTGTCTGCAATCTGCAGAGTCTGATGAGCACAGGTAAAGGAAACTCCAATGGCTATAAAAAAAATACATTTTAAAATGTTATTTTTAATAATTAAGCTCTTGAATTTAATGAGATCTGTAAGGAATAGTGGCCAAGGAAGCTTTGGAGCCCAGCAAATGTGGAGTCTTGGCTCTGGTGTGTGGCCTTGTACAAGATATTTAATTTCTCAAAGCCTGATTTTTCTCATGTGTCAAATGAGGAATATTAAATATCAAGGGTTATTGTAAAGCTTGAAGGAGTTATTATATACAGAGTGTTTGAACCATTCTGGCACGTAAACACTCAGTTGTGCTCTATTATGGCCGTCCTTCTCTGCCAGGTTTGTGGTGAGCTGATATTATCCAATGTTAGGGCTGCTGGGCACTAGGCACAGAAATAATCAAGACCTGTGGAAAGGCAGTAAGGGAGGAAAAAAGCCATAAAGAAAGGGGTTGTACAAATAAGAGTTAGATACTTACTTCTAAATGATTTTTATTTTGAGATAACTGTAAATTTACATGGAGGTATAAGAAATAGAGAGAGATCACACCTACCCTTTGCCCAGTTTCCCGCTATGGTAACATCTTGATTCTATAGTACAAAATCACAACCAGGAAAATGATACTGGTACCTCCATAATAAATACTTTTTGTTACTGTAACTAAGACTGTTACTTTAATGGGTTTGAATGACCAGTGCCTACACCTTGGGGGTGGGGGGCCTGGGGACTGAAGAGTTTAGGTCAAAAGTCCTTATCACACCAGTGGGTGCCTAACATAGCTCTCCCTCCTTGAATCCACCACAAACCACAGACTGGGCTTCTGATAGGATCACTTCTTGGCAGTGTCCTCATTTGCCTTGAGACAAAAGCTCACTTACTGAATGTTTACTAGGATCACAGGCTCTGTGCTAAGTACTTTTCATGCATTATCTCAGTCTTTACAACAGGCCTATGAAGTAGTTGGTAATATTGTCCCCATTTTATAGATGATGAAACTGAGATCCAGTAAGTTTAGGTAACTTGCCCAGGTCATATGGGAAATAGGAGAGCTGAGGTTAAAACACAGGGCTGCCTGAGTCACAGGATCAAGGCTGTCTTATCCACCCACACATCCCCCTCACACCTATGGCAGACTTCAGTGGAAGGAGACTAAATTAACTGCAGCCTGTGACAGGTATGTTCATTCCTTCTGTAATCAATTCACAACTGAGTTGGGGTGGCAGAATGTAAAAGTGTAAATGGTGATACAAGGCAGTATTGTAAGGCAGCAATGCAGGGAGGCTTAGGGACCCAAGAGTGGGGCAGTGGGAGAGGCTTTCGAAGGGAGGCAGATGAGGGAGATGGGCCGGGCCTTGATCGTGGGCCTGGATGCACACACGGAAAAGCCGGTGACGTGCTGAGCTCACACTGTCAGGACACTTGTGTCTGCTTTTGCCCCGCCATCCTGCTTCTCCCTCCTCTCCTTCAACTGAACAGGTATGTGGTAGACTTTCTTCAGAATACATAATAATCCCAGTAGCTAACGCATATAGAATGTTCATACTGTGTTTGCACTGTTTTAAGTGCTTTACGTATGGTAACTCATTTAATCCTCACAACAACCTCTAACATAAGTACTATTATTAGCCCTATTTTATAGGTGAGGACTTTGAGGCACAGAAAGGTTAAGTCACTTGCCCAAGGTCAGCCAGTTAATGAGAGCCAGGATCTGAATTCAGGCAGTTTGGGTGCAGGCTCCCTATTTTTGAGCTCTGTGCTCCAATATAACTTTTGTTTTCCTGCATGTGCTCCTCGGTAGAGGCCTTGTCCTCTACTTTTTGAGTCCTTTTTACACATCTGTATTTATAAAATCTCACCCAGTCAAGACTCAAGGTAAATAGCCCAACAGCAGTCACCATCAGGTGTAAGCACTTTCTGAACAGCAAACTTCTATGACTGGCCCTGGGCCAAGTGGTTCACATTTCATTTTACAACAACCCTGCAAAGTTTCTATAAGTGAGGACACTGAGCTTCAGAGATACTAACTTGTTCATAGGCTGAGAGTCCCACCCAAAACCTGTGCCTTCCTCCGTGTACCTCATGTCTTGAATCCTCCTCCTCATTGAAGCCTTCCTCCCTCACCACCAACAGTCACACATCAGTCCCTGCTTTGCACCGGCCATGTGCATTCTGCACCTATTTAGAAATTTGCACATGTGGCCTTGATGGTCCTCTCAGTCACATGCCTATCCACCCAAGGGTAGTTACAAATGTCAGGAGCCATGTGTGAGTCCAAGCCATGGGGCCATAGGGCTTATAAAATCCTAAGATTCTAGAGCTAGAAAGCACCCAGGGGTAAGCAGACCCACTACCCACCCCAGGCAGGGTCTCCTTTAACAAAGATATCTGATCATTCATTCATTCAGCAATGGTGCCAAGCATGTTCTAAACAATGGGGATGAAGAACAAAAAAGAACAGACCAAATTCCTCTCCCAAGAGGGCCCATTCTAGTTGGGGGAGATAGACAATAAACAAGATAAAAAATTAAAATATATAGGATATTAGGTGTTCATATATGCTAAGGAGAAAAAATAAGCACAGAAAGGATAGATAAAGAATGGTACATGTACATGGTGTGGGGGTGGGGGGACACGAGGAAGACAGTGTAGCCCGGAGAAGACAGGTAGGGGCTCTGTGGCATCTTACTACACTGATGGATGGTGACTGCAATGGGATATGGGGGGAGGGGGACTTGATAATGTGGGTGAATGTAGTAACCACATTGTTTTTCATGTGAAACCTTCATAAGAGTGTATATCAATGATACCTTTAAAAAAAAAAAAGGAATGGTGCATGTATATGTGTGTGAGAGAGACAAAGACAGAGAGACAGACAGATTGGAGGTTAGCTAGTGGTACCCCCTCTGAGGAGGATTCCCCCTCAAAGTTTGTTATCCACCATTGGCTTGAACATGTGCAGCTACAGAGAAGTCATTCCCTTAAAAGGCACTCATTCTATTTTTAACAAGCTCTGGTTGTGATGAAATTTATCAGATCTTCTCTGAGAGACTTCTACCTTCACCTGAATTTTGCCTTCATTCTCTGTGTGGGCAAGCCTAACCCATTCTCCTAGGACAGATGACCCTTCACTTTGGGAGGACAGCTATGTTTTCCCCCAAACTCTAATATCCTAACCTCCCTCAGCTCTTACCTAAGTGACATGGTTTCAGTCTGTGTCACTCTGGTGGCTGGTCTCCTTGAATGTATTGTCTTTTATCGAAGAATAGAACATTCTACTCCATAGTGGGTTGATCAGTACAGAATATTCCAGATGTTTGATCCCTGGATATGGAATCCATACCATATAAAAACAAAATGAAACATGTTTATAAGTTCTATCCTAATCAGATTTCAGTCCTCACAGGGGGAGCCAGTCTAGAATCTTCAGAATCTGGAAGTTAGGGAAAATCTTGGGGTTAGTGGAGGGGCAAGTCTTCCCTTCCTCAATGGGCTTACATTCAGTGAGGTTTCTAGAAAGAGGCAAGAGTGGGGAAGCCCAGGGTGAAGAGAGGCAGAGGAAGGAAGATCCTACTCTTGTCAGTGAGCAGAAGTCCTGGTACAGAGTTAAAGGACGGCTGCAGGAGCCAAAAGCTCATTGTAGTTTTGACTTGTTTACTTCTTTCATTATGAATGAGGTCAAGCATCTTTTTATATACTTAAAAGCAATATATATTTCTTTTAAATATCCCTTGTAAATTTTTCAATTAGTTTAAAGGTCTTTTCCTTATAGGTTTCTAGATTTTTATATATTAAGGAAATTAACCACTTGTGTTATTTAGTACAACACTTTTTTCCAGTTTGTCATTTGTTTGTTTACTTGGTTTTTTTTTTCTATGTAGAAAGTTTTCATTTTTAAGTAGTTAAATGTATTAATCTTTTCATTTTGGGCTTTTGTTCTTCTCCTCCTCCCTTTCCTTCATGTATATTGTATGTAGAAAAGCCTTCTCCATTCTAGTACTATAAAGATAATCTTCCATGTCATCTTCAACTAATTTTGTTATTTCACTTTTTACATTTAAATATTTGATCCCTCTGAAATTCATTCTGGTGTCTCATTTATTATTATTTTACTGTATGCACCAGGCCTGGTGTTCAGCAATTCATAAGTATTATCCTATTCAATAGTAGTAATTTTGGCAACCTCTATTGTGCCGATGGGGACACTGAAGCTTAGCAAGGTGAGCCCAGCCAAGATCATACATCTGGTAAGTGTTAGGATAGAAAGCAAGTTGGCCTGAGTTAAATTTTTATTTCCTTCACTATAGTATTTATAAGAGAGGCACCCTGTGTTATTTGGATGACTAACTTCATGACTATGCCTTTCAAGAAAGGTTGTTGAGTATGTGATGACTACCGCCCAGTCCATGAAGTATAAGGAACCAGGAAGACACATGAGGTAGAACTACTGGATGTCAGTTAGCCAGAATCACTCTCCAGCTAGGCAGCCGACTCACTGAGGATTCCAATTCTTGGCAAAATTGTGGATGATTAAATTAAGTTACATCAGCATAGACACAACTGTGACTATTGAATCCACAAATATAAGAGTTTCTCAAACTTCCCTTGTTATGGGACAGTATAGATCCCAAAGTTTGGATGGGGTTCAGCCCTGCAAGTAGAGCATGATTACTGAAATGTATTGATTCTTAAATATACATCTTTTCACATTTAACATCTCTGAAATTAAGATGCCTCTTGTGATCAATGGTGTCTTATAATTGCTGTTGGCCCCACAACAGACAAGATGTAACAGCAGCTGCTTGCACACGTGCCAGCTCGCTTTATGTTTCTGATGGCACAAACAGACAACAGTAACCCATTAACTTTTTATTTAACAAACAGTTTAAGGGCCATTTCGGAAAGTAATATAATCGTGGTTGTTTTCTGGAAATTTCTTGACATCTTCTGAAAAGATCAAGAAAGGA